CTTTTTTGAACCAGCCGTGTCTGTTGCACGTCCCATAAACTATGGCGGTTATCATTACTGGAAATCAGTAAGTACTTCCCATGTCTCTTATTATCATATCCGTCCACCTCTTATTATTTTATTTGCATCTTCGTGTATACTATCAACCAATCAATTAATCAACCTGCTGCTCGGTAATGCGATAACTACTTGTATCTAGAAGCCCTACTGACCTGAGACCAACGCGCTCACTCAGCTACAAGATATACAAATCCACAAACAACTACCAAACTGACTAAAACTAGTGTAACCTAGTGTCTAGACCACCACCCATTAAATATTTTCATATACTTAGAGCTGTACCGAAACAGCAAGAAGGGAGCGCAAAGAAGTCACTCGGATAATATAAGCTCGTGATAAAGATATTGGATACAGATGGGCTTTTAATTAACGATAATCTCTGCCGTGATGAAAATACGAGAAGCAATTCATTGAAGAACTACAAACCAGTAAACAAATGTGAGCACAAGTTTGGTAAATGTTTATCATGTGGTACAGTTCATTCACGTAATTCACGTGCATTTTGTCTTGCTATATGCTTCAAAAGTAGTAAAATCTGCTTGTGAGACTATTGCTCATTTTGCCACTAGTTAAGGTAAACCTTATACTCAGATTTCATTAAGTTGGGTATTTCTAATGGATATTTATCTGCATCCAAAACTCCGAAACATAATTCCCATACTCGGGAGTGATTTTATACTGTTCTTGATCCATTCCATATCTTTATTGTCGACATAGAAGGTATTGAGTCCATCATTTCATTCAAGAACATAACGCCTTCAAATTCTGACGTGGTACAACCTACTGAAGCTTCAGTATTTAGGATTACTGGGAAAAACTCCGCCTGTACGATGATGCTATGAATCTCTGTTTTGAGATGATCGTTCATCATACATGGCTTATGAGTATTAGTTAGTGAAACAGAATCGTCAATAAGAGGTTTGAAAAATTGTAAAAGCCTTGAAGTGTAGTTGACTTTATCAGATTCCAAATACGATTCTGATCCTTTACTTAAATGTTTGATAGTCACATTTGCTAGGTGCAGTGCAGAGATGAGAATTCAGCCCATAAAACCCCAAGTACAAAGCGATCCAATCTTTCTTAAAGGACAAACTATTCCTTGTGGTCTTTAAATAGCAGTACTTAAGATATTGAATTATTTGCTTGCGAAAAGAATGATTGGACCGATTCAGTCTTTATCGTTGGAGACTCCTATTGTTACTCCCTTGAAGTCTGGTGGCAAGACCCCTAGAACATGTGAAGGTTTCAGGCTAACACCGAGATTCCGTTTACTGAAGCAGGCATTCACGACGGTGGAAGCTGAAGATACTTAATCGACTTCATGGTTCTAAGGTATTCATAAAAGTTGTTTTGAAAGTTGCTTACCTTCAAATTCCCTTTGATCAACCCTCATCTATTTTTACATGAATTAATGCTCCTCTTTGTTTTTAAAAAATACAAATTCCTTCCATTTGGTCTATGTTGTTCTCCAGTCATATTTCAGGAAGTCATGAATAATCTAGTCAGTGATTTTAAAGGTGTTCACGTTTATCAATATGATCGCATTACTCGTAGTTCTGATAAAGTAGCTCATGATCAAAGACTTATTGCTTCATCACATCGTTTAATCAAGAAGAATATTGCTGTGAATCCGAATAAGTGTTCATTTTGTGTATTTAATTTTGAATATCGTGGATACTTAATCGATAGTAATGGTTTTAAACCAGATATTAAGCAGCTAGCTTCACTTAAAAATGCACCATCTCCAAAAAATCTTACAGACCTACGTTCGTCAGTGAGTGCTTGTGATAATTAGAAGTACTCAGACTGATTCGTTAACCAAGAATTCCCTAAATAATGCAATTTAAGGCAGGTAGAACTAGTTGAGCACAACTGAAAGTATTAAATTTGGAATTCTTAAGCAGGCAATCAAATACAAACGAATCATCGGTTGCTACAATACCACAGGGCGGTGGACCAATAAACTGTATTTCACTCGAACTTACTGTTGCTTAACAAAGTTATTTAAAACTCAGCGCAAGACACCAGCTGTTATTTGGAGTGTTAAATAACTTCATAATTATTTATTTAGGAATAAATTTACTGTTGTTATAGATAATGAAGCATGAAAGCTCATTTATCGTCCTAAAAAAGTCCTTACCATGTTCCTCAGTTTCTTCGGTTTGACGATGGAGTATTGCTCCAAATGCCTATGACTATACGATTCAGCACAGAGGTGCCAAACAAATTCAGTATGTTGACTACATATCTCGACAGTTGTAGTGAACGAAAACTCGAGTGAGGGAACCAATTTACTGTTTTATGTAAAATTGCAGAATGCCTTCGTATAGAATGAAAATCATACAGTAAATACATCACTTACACGACTTCTGTGCATTGATCTTTACATACTCCATTATTCTTCGAATTCTGTTGTTAGTTTGACTGCTCTCCGATTTCCTTCCTGTTCTCTTGACTTCAGTCTTATGCTGCCAGACATTCCACTTCCGATTGCTGCTACATAATGCTTATACCTGTCAGCACAAGTAGCATGCACCACATAGTCATTAGAAGATACGCCTGTTAATACTACAGATTGTTTATTACTACACCCTCTACCGGTGAGCCATCCAGATTTCACTAGGGAAACTCGTCGTTATTTTGGATGTTTACTCAGTGCCATATGAAAAGGTTGGGACGCTAAACTGAAACTTAAATTTCCTGCCTATATCTCACAAGTGGGATAAATTATCCACTGTCCCTGATATGACGTCCAACAGAAGTGATGTTTGAATAATGTATCTCTTCTTTTACTATTGGCGATTTTCGTAGACCGACTGACTGTTTAAGAACTCTGTTCGGAAAACCAGTTGGGAGGTTTGAACAGTGTATTATTCCACTTTATGCTCAATATCGGTTTGAAATGATTTTGTCAACTGATTTTAAACAGCTACTCTAAATTTGTTAATATATGCAAATTATCTAACTGTCCGGTTCGTCAAATTTTTAAAATCATCAGTTTGATGGATATTTATATCGTTTATAAGTGTCGAAGGTATTAAATCGTAAACTCAGTATATTATTGAGATTATAGTAGTTGCAACATAATTTTTCAAACAATCACAAACTTTCAGAGAGTCAGCTGTAACGTAGAACCAGGGACATATATGCATCGGTCCAAGTTACCATAGCTTATTATCACAGCAAGATGAACACTGGATTCATAGAAGTAGTTAATTCAGCGGTGGCAATATATAAAAGAAAGATTGCATAGTATAGGAAGAAAAAATTAGTTTTCATCTCATAGTTTAAATGAAGACAAAGAGTGTATACATCTTCGCCATTATGATCAATTCAGAGCCATGTCACCCAGAGTCTCCAACCATTGATTATGATAGTCACGCAAACCCCAACCAAAGTCTGCATCTACCAACATGGCTAAGCCTAGAAGTTAGTGACTTCAAGCACTGAGGCCATGTTTTGGTTAGGCCACCCATACTTTCTGCCAACCATCTCCAACACCGGTTATCATTGCACGTCGTGGTAATCAGTGTTTGGGCATACGTAACACGTGGCCCAACCATCTCAGTCGATGAAGATTCACAACCTCATCAACTGATTTACCATCATTCCCTAATATCCTGCGTCTAACCTCACCATTACTTACCCGGTGATCCCAGCAGATACAAGCAATATTTCTAAGGTATCTGTGGTCAAATAGTAGTAGCGTACGAGTATCTTCTACTCTTAATGGCCACGATTCGCAGCCGTAAGTTAGAACAGAACGAACTGCCGTGCAATATACTCGTCCTTTAATTGATAGACTGATATCTCACCTTCGCCATAGGCGACGTAAGTTTGCGAAAGCCGAACGGGCTTTTCGAATCTGTGCAGAGGTTTCGTCAGACACCAACCCACTAGGACTGATAAGATTTCCAAGATAAGTCTAGTTATCAACGCGTTCGACTACTTCACTCCCTATACTTAGTTCAGGTGTTGATGCAAGCCATTACTAGAGCAACAAGTTTCAGAAAAATGTTTATAAATATACTCATACTTGATTGATCATGATATTTAATAATTTAAATTAGTATTATCGTATAAACAATTGTTATACCGTATAGAAATACAAAAACTACACTACTATGGCTTATGCATGAAAAACTGAAACGTAACTTTTTGTATGTTAGTGGGTGTGAAGAATGTAATATATGTAAGATTAATAAATCCTTCAGTTTGTGTGTCTATCACTAAGTAGTGCTAATTAACACATGATATCGTAAGGTAAGTAACTGCTATCTAAAAGACTATGTTTGTCGAACTTCTATTCAAAAGGGCGTTGTCGTCGCGCATCAAATAAGGTATTCACTAAGGATCATCATTGTACTGGTTTTTCCCTCTTCAAAGTAAACTATTATATACGGATAAAAAATTTGACAGAATTAATGGTATAGTTCTACTTTAAACAGACTCAAAATCAATTTATTGTCTTTTAGTTAACTGAAATTCCTTAATTACGTGGACTTTGCGACGACAAAATGATTACCATTATTTTATTAAAAGTTTGATGATATGAGTTAAAACTTTTATGGTTTTAACTAAAAAAATTGTACTAATTCGGAGTTTTCAAAGTTTAAATTCTTAAATTTTTCGAAAAAATATATCCCCCAATATTCAGTGATAATCAAAGTAATAACTGTCTTTGGAATAATCTCAGTGACATTTTACACTGAATGCTTGTCCATACATTTTTAAACTTAAATTTCGTGCAAAATCAAAATGTTAAACGAGGTGGACCAGATGAACTATTTAAACAGTTTAACAGGGTTTATATCTGTAAGTAATTTCAACTGACATCAAAAGACGTTATCCTACTATTTGTTGTCAGTGCATACGTCTATATAATAGCTTCATTATGTGTATTTTCACTTTGGTAATAAGTAAAACGTTTATGTCAATATCTAAAGTATACATTTCTTCACTGAATTCTTAATACTAATAATAATACACAAGTACATACGTCTCATATGTGATATCTCGTTAACATACTACATCAAATGACTTTCATTCTCACCGAACACAAGATTAACTGTTCAACGTGTTTAGATGACCGTTCAGTATAGACTTACTTTAAAATCCATTTATCAATAAAAAATTAGACCACTAATATTCTAACTTTTCCTGAAAATTAGTTCAACAAAACTGATTGTCTCTATTCACCAATAATTAAAGTTTGGTCATATAGAAAATTCATTTCCCCAAATTGTTGAACAAACCAAGAATTTTCTATACAGCTACAGTACGAATCATCCGATGAAAATCACCCATTCTCCATAGGACTCAATTAATCATATTACAGTAAAAAGGCTGGGTATAGACTAGGCAATGGCTATAAAGTTCAGTTAAATCACATAATCAGAAATTGAGCTAAGCTTGACAATGAAAATCATAAGTACAGCAAACCAAGACTTTGATTTTCTTAAGTATGTCAAATGGCATTATTTTTGTTCAGTAAATAACTGAAAATACAAAAAACAGCTGCTCAATATTAATAATACTTGTTTCGACACGTTTCTTTAGTTTATGGGCTTCATTTGACATATCGTCCACTTAATCCAGTAGTTTATCTTCAGACATCAAAATCTGATGTTTATCCATGAGTTATATTTGCATTAAGAATTTTGAGAATAATGTTAATATGTCTTACATCACTAAGAATACGAACATGCTCCGCTCCAGGTAATATGTAATATTTTATTCCAGGCCAATTTTTGCAGTATTCTAAGCTTCGTATGCCGACTGTCCCATCTCCGTCACCAGGAATTAATAAGGGTACTTGATCTGGGAAACCACTATAAAAATAACTGGGTGCAGAATAGGAAATTTTTTCGGTAGTGGATAAACGTGAACCATGAATACAATAAATATCATCAATACCAGTAGGCATTTCTAATCCATCAACAAGGGAGTGAGTATCTTTCCACATTTGGTAGCCTAGAAGCTCATTATGAACGAATAGAATATAAACCAAAATACAGAATTAGAAAAATAAATGTAAAGATGACGTAGTGTGAAGCTTTTAATAGTTTAAACATTTTCTTCAGTATCCACTTTTAAAAGAGACCTTTTAATACTTCAAAGTAGGTTTGTTAGAACTATTTAAAACTATTTTTGGATATTCTGAAAACTGAGGCAACAAAGTCTGAGTTTGAAATAATTTCTATCTATGAATATAACATCATGAAGTCGATTGGGAAACGCTTTTCGTGATTATGGATAAACTGTGAATGCATAATGGTTTTGCTCTTAGTTTTCACGTGATTTGTAAGTTATGGTTTGTAGATATAGTAGCTAGTGTTGTTTTGATAAAATATGAGTAACAAAAATAACTACCAAATTAAGGTAGTAACAAATGAGAAGAGAAAAGATAGTCACATACCAATAGTGTAATTTATATCTTTGAAGAAACGCTCGTAATCAGCTGAGCTATAGTTTGTTGTAGGTGTGATAATAAGTGGCTCCGATGATGGCCATAAACGAGAATCAGGAAATAAGAAAGGAAGAGATGGCATAGAACGTTGAACGTGTCGAAAACTTAATGGACTACGCAGAAATACCCCAAAGTTATCACCTGGATTATTAGAGAGAACAAAAGAAGTTGAGCATAACCTATAAGGCAATGCAAGACCAACATTTCAATCAAAAAAACAACTAGAGAATAACGTGAAAATTGCAAAGCATTGTCCGTCTGTCTTAATGAATCATCTCTCTAGTAGTATTATTACCGCAGTTGAATAATACCCTTTTCTATGAATAAGTTTTTATAAAATATTAAGATGTTTACATAGTGAATGTCATATAATTTGAACATTATACAAAAATTTGAAGTGACATGATAATCACAACAGCGAATTGTTTCACCATTTATTTCTCACACTCCATTACGATCTCTGATTTTTTGTTGACTCGGAGTTAATCTCCAGTATTTTTAATTGAAGTGTAATTGACATTTGATGTATATAGTTTTTCATCGTAAACGTATTACCTTATTAGAGATAATGCTGTATTTTATACTATAATATCTCAGATTATTGTTAAAATGAGCTATTCGGTAAAGTAATTCACAGGTAATCAGCCCAAAAAATAACCATATCATGCTTATAAAACATTTGCCGATAAACTTTCGACAAATATGAAATATTGTTTTTTGTAGTTTATTAATAGATATATGACAGTAATATGTAGACATTTGTATTTACTTACATGCCACTAAATATAATGAAAGGTGAGGAACTCATTGAATACCGTGATTTCATGACTTTTAGTTTGAAATGCCAAGATTTTCTGTAAAGACTTCACAATCTTGATTAGTGTAAAACATGAAATCACTTAATATCATGGTCGTTTAACCAATTAATCTTTGGTATTAAAATGGGTTTCAGCCTTATCACATACACATATTCACCAAACCTGATATCTGTTTATTCAATTGAGATTTAAAATTAAAACACAACTAAATTATTATATTTATTTTGTCATTAGAGGATTTGTAGCTGCGCGTAACTGGAGCAATTATACTTTGCTCTTGAGTAAACGATATCGTAAAGAATACTAGTAGTAAAACAAAATCAAATCCATTAGGTATTTGTGATTTTTGTCAACATTATCAAAGTTTACACTAACTATGTATGAATAACCATGCATATTTTCATTTATTACAAGTATAAACAATTTCTGGAAGTCATTGTAAAAATGAAATACACAGGGAAAGGAGTCTCAAATCAAATAACCTAATGATAAAAACTTATTGGGTGAAGGATATTCAAGTTTTATTGAGGATTTTAATTTTTTCAAGATTTTAAACATATCTAACAGCTGATTCAATAGAACTTAGATTTAGAGCTTAATGATATACATGTCAGAATGAATTATTTTTAAGTAATTAATAAACAACTAGGTATTTAGTTTGTATTGTGTCTGAATGTAGTTTTACAATGCATCAATTTGATATACATTTAACTTCTTAATAAAATCTATTCAGCGGTTTGAATAAAGAAGAAATGACCGAAAAATCGTTTTTCTCTAGTTAGGGTAAAGTATTATTTCATAGTTTTCATGTTCATGTATATTTCAGGTTACAAATTTTAATATTTCTGAATAATGATATAATAGAAAGTAAGTTATACTCATGTGCCTTTTTCATATATAACTTATCCATGAGTGTACGATAGAAGATTATTAACCGAGCATATATATGTATTTTAATTATTTACTTTCCAAACTTATAATTTAAGTCTATTCTAAGAGTATCATTTCTTAAAAATGAACATTACTGTTTAGTGAAACACGCGTTCCCTTCAGTAGTATTTAAAAGTTTTAACTTTAGCCTATTTTTACCCATGAAGCTGATATATAACTGAGTAGTAGGTCAAACTTAAATAAATTTAAGGCCTTAACAAGATCTCCAATACTTGTCTAAATAACAATGGCTTGATACTCACCAAAAGCTAAACTCCCCAAATTTATTGACTGAACTAAAAATTTCTTTACAACAAATAATTAGTTAGTTACTTTGTGTTTTATGGATATTACTCACTTTTGGGAGTTTCTATGTGAATATTAATGAGTGTAATCTTTCTATTTCGGTAGTTGTTATAAATATGGTTAAATCCGATTATTTCATGGCCAGACTAATTTCTTAAACACTTCGCTGTCAGCATCAATTTTTAAAACGTACTTACCACTAGCTTCAATCTTCACTGTTTTCACAGAACCCCCGAACGGACAGCTGGAAAACACCAGAGATTTTATATACTTCTTTTTCCATGGAATATCGCATTTTTTCAAAAACCACTGAGCAAATAAGCATCCCATACTATGTGGTAGTAGAACAACGGGTCTTTGTTTTGCATTTTCATAAGTTTCCTCAATCAAGGCTTTTAATTTATTGAAAAATTCACCGTTTTCATCTAAAACGTTAAGTGCGTAAAACTTTTCTATAAAAATAAGTCTTACTTGGAGCTTTTCTAAAATCATATGGTGCGCCTCTCATTGTAAAATTCGATACATAAAACGGATCTTTTCTTAGAGCATTAACCAATGAACCAAAATATTCAGAAAACATATTTGGTCTTTCATCTAGATTCTCAATTGACCATGTTTCACCCCATCCTGGAAAAATAATGTCAACACCTTCAGCATCATAACTGTGACCAGTTTTTGGATCATACTGTAATCTAGAATAGAGTTGTTTTATAATTTCCAGATTTTGTATGACACAAAAAATAGACATTTAACTAACTTAAAATACTCAGTAAAATGTTTTATAAATGCAAAAAATTCCAAATTTAACCATACAGGTAGCGCTTTATGATTGGGATCATTCTTCAGCACGGCAAAAGCTTGACACCCAGCTGTTCCGGGGATCATCACTAATGGATATTGTCCATCGGATGTTGACTCAGAGTTAACTTCCCAGGTGATCAAACTAAAAGTAAAAATTAAAAACTATTATGTTTATTTGTGTACATTGAAACAATTTCAAAGACACCTACTAAATTTAATTGTAAGTTAAGCTTATGCATTTGTACGATAATATTTAAATAAGTGGCGGGTGTATATATATCACCGTCTCAAGTATTTCAATGATAAAATACATCACAGCTTAGAAGTAATCGCTTACGTCTTATATATTAGCACCTAATTATTTAAGAACTTTGATACTTGTCTTTTTAAAACATGATTTCTTTGAAACAAAATCAAACGACTATTTCACAAGGTTAAACCTTAAAATGCAATAAAAATCTAGTTGTGATATTTTCTGATTTCAGAGATAAACTTTAGCACTGTTTCGATAACAATAATCATTTTTGGTAATGACTTAATTTGTATCAGAATTATATAGAAAAATTTTGAAAGAGCAGTTTATAGTTCAATTTAAGTGATTAGCAAACAGAACAATAACAGATCAAAGTTAGCAAGTTAGCAAGAACTGAATTGTTATTAAATATTCTCACTTATAACATTGAATATAAATGTAGATACTTACTTACTTACGCCTGTTACTCCTAATGTAGCATAGGCCGCCGACCAGCATTCTCCAACCCACTCTGTCCTCCACCTAGAGTCCCTACGGGGGCTACTGCCGGTCTCACGCCCGGATAAAAGAGGAGGGTTGGGGATGGGGTTAGTGACCCCATCCCGTAGAAAACTAACTCGCTAAAAAACGCTAACAAGAATATAAATGTGTTTGTTATTAATAGCCTTTGTGTTGAGTTAGTTTCCTTTGACGTAGTTTGTCTGAATGATAACTAACTATATAGATATAACAATTTTGTTCTGGTTAACTTAAAAAAAAGTCTCTTTCATGTGTTCATATGAAGGAATTCCAAAAATCTGGGCAGCTATCCAACTAAAATGTCGTTATTACGATAGGAAGGCTATTGTGATTAACAAATTCGGGAGACAGTTTTCATCATTGACTAACTTTATCTTAAAAATCATTAAAAACCAGGCAGTATTAGCCAAAAGTTTTATCATAGATAGGAGTCTATAGCATTATTTACTCACCAGGTTTCACACCTAGAGCCTCCAGATGGCCGTTTAAAATGTTATTTATAAACGACCAATCTAGTGCCCGATGGTTCACTTTTCCAATGTCAGTTAGTTCGAGATATAACACGGTCGTCATTCATTGCCGTCGGTTGTATGTATTCAGAAAATAAAGTGAAGATTGTTTATGCGCATGTAGCTAACTTTTATTTTGCAAAATGTAGTTAGTGGATGATAAACCTTTAATTAATGAACTTTGAATGAGTTTAAGTTAAGTCATATGAATTACATCATAAGTATGCAGTGATCATTTTCTCGATAAATCTCAATATTATTGATTATCGTATCTTGATCAAACTAAGATGGAATTCATTCTCACTGAACTTACTGAGTTCACCGACGTCTCATTGCTAAAACACTTGAACTCGAGTATGAATAATGCAAGCTAGAAAGTTAACTGCCACAATACAAATCGACTTCAGACCAGTCACACAGTAACACCTGATTTCAGTGTTCAATTTCGTAAATCTGTTTAAGAAACAAATGTATGGATCAGCCACTTGAAATTATTACGTTTTCGAAGTGTGAACTAATTTTCTGTATTCTAATCAATAGTTGAGCCATTCTGCTTCCCTCCAGAAAATCTATTCAGTTCTCTTTGTTTATCTATTCATTTACTGATCTACTCTCATAAATTTGACACATTTTATTGAACTATGCATCCACTGTAACAGATCGTGAACAGATTATTGGTGCTAATCAAATTCAGTGAGAGACAAATCGATATGTAATCACCAAAATGTGATTATGCTTGTCATAGACATGGAAATAACTCGGAGAAATAAATGACGGAGGGAGAGAGATAGAGATAAGAAATGCTAAACCACATGTTTACGGATAGTTTGCGTTATGTACAAGGTGTTATCTGTTTAATCAAATCAGAAGACTACATGAAATTCCAATTCGAGTTATGTAGTTGTTGATTTCTCATGAATTTTCTATCTGTTTTTTCCCAATTGAAAATTAACCTTTATTAAAGCAACAGTGAAAGCATAGAAACTGAAAGTATGTCGACATAGTGAGTTGTGAAATCTGTCGAATTATTGGCCTCATATAATGGACTGGCTTCGGTTAGACAATCGGTCGATACCTGAGAGCCTTGAACTGTTGTTTTGTCATGGTATGGGATAAGAAATCTCGTGCTGTCACAGTCGATCGACTGAAGTAACATGAAGTGATTAAGTGACCACAGCTCGTGAAAATCTAGTTGGTGGTTTAAGCTCCTCTCCCAAACTAACTAGAAACAAAAATATAGCTGGTTGACAAAATAGTTTGTTTTTGCTTGACAAAATAGCCTGTATGTAAGAAGAAAGTACGACGAAATGGAGACGATTGGAACTCACAGATTTTTTGACTGATTAGGATGCAATGGTGTTTGGAGCTCTTTGGATATCCAATAAATATATCTTTCCGAGTTCCAGATGATTTATATCTCTTTTAAACAGTCCATCAAACTCGTGAATTTTCTGTTTATAATATATTTAAGGATAAATAAAGCAAAACACTCAAAGCTTTCGATGAACACGGTATCATTTTCTTACAATGATTGACATTTTAGCTATTGGAAAGACTATCCTTAGTAAACTAAAAACTAGTCAATCAATAATTGCACGGTGGTTTCAAGCATCCTTTATTTAATGTCTTTTTTAACTTACACATATACTGTTATTTTGTACTCAAACTCAGTCTTTACGATTGGTTATTTACCGGCAACCGTACTAATGTAACAGTATGTTTATGAAGAGAGTTAGGCAGTAAATGGTTTCTACAACTGGGTTGTCAAGAGATATAAATTGAATATTTTTTGTCAACTAAAATAGCCACATTATTCTATCAGTTAACTGTTGATCAGTCACATCATGGTGCACTATAGAGTTTTGGTTATCCAGTGATTAAATATGACTATTTTGACATGTAACACTTATCTACTGAAAATTACTCATTAGAAAGGTTAATCAAGAAGTAATAATAGTAGTAGTGTGGTGTGTGCTGCTTATATTTACATAAGTAGTAGATGGTGTTAGTCGTGAACAGAATGTCTGGCAGCAGAGAGACAAGAGGATCGAACAGTAAAGAATGGAAACATAATTCAATTTGTATGAAAATGCAAGAACAATGAATTCTGAGTCATTATGAGACAATTGATGGAGATTTTGCAAATTAAGTATTTACTATTTGATAGTTAGACCTCATTAACAAGTCCTGTAATTTTGAGTTGAATACATTCGGCTGTCCCCAGTGGTGTTCTTGTTCACTACAGTAGTAGTAGCAAGCTTATGCCATAGTCGAAGTATATGGACCATTAGAATCAGATGTAATTATTTAAGGTTAATTTTTTGACGTCTGTAAGTTTATTTTACCTGTCATAAGATTGAGATCGTTACTTTTGTTTGACCCCCTGACAATGGCTGGCTAAGCTGCTGGGAAAAAGAAGTAAGACAATATTATTTGATTATTCCACGTCGCAACTTCAAGTTACTGCTAGATGAGAAATAGAGGGAAGGCTGTCTATTGCTTTGTGAAATAACCATTCTTCTTGGATGTTTATGGGATTCGCCATAGCACATCGTTTTTCACAAGCAAAAACCTTAAATGCTTACTTAGTAAACTCGTAATGGTTTATCTAATACAAAGAACCTAGTAGTCAGTATAGTAGTAAGCAACGACAACAATATATCACTATCGAAAGTTTAATGATCTTCTGAAATAAGATCTAAGCAAAGATAAAGAGTGAATGCATCTGCTCCACTATTTCTAAACTCAAAGCATTATCTGAAAAATGGGAATCTATTTTCAAAAATACTATTTGTTTAATAATCAAGCGTAACAATAAAAAATGACAGATTAATAAATGGTAATTTCTAAAACCGTATATTTATCCATGGATGGAATTATTTCAAATTAGGATAGAAACTACAAAATAAGAGATGTTTTCAGGGTGTAAAATCTATAAGACAAGTAGTTGTTGAGCATAAAATAAAATAAGTTATGAAAAAGTAAACAACAATAGTAACTGTTATTCTTAGGAATAGAACGGAAAACTTTCCAAATAATGGGAATTATAGTCTACGTTTAAAAAAACCAGAGATCCAAATAAAATTCACAGCCATGAATTAGTTATGTTTACGTAATTTAGCTTACGCATAAAATGACAAATCATCGTTTAAGATTTGATGAACAGATTCAGATAATTGAATATTTATTGTTTGTTTTACTGCATCATTTTCAAGAAATAATAAATGATCAAGTAGAAACCCGGTAGTCACATCCGAACAATAAGATTTTAAGCCATTTAGTATTGTTAGTTCACCAGATTGATTTTTTTCCAAAATACGTTTTTGATAAAGATAGTGATATGCATTGTGAAATTCTTTTTCTCCAAGTTTGTCGATGCAGTATCTGAAATACAAGGGATATATTTTTAATATAGATATTACTGAACGATTTTCGATTATTTGTTAGTGTGGCATAAATAAATTATTTGAACTTAACCTTCACCATCACTTGGATGATGGTTTAGAAGTTATTCCTCATCACGGATAAACCGAATTTCATCCCTTGTGGGGTCCTTGGGGTGCAATTCTGAGAAGCGCCAAAGTAAGATGAAACAGATATCTCGTGCTCCTCAGTTTCAGTGGTTTCTTGGATGGTGTTACTAAGCCACTCACAATAAATATAGCATCTGACCTGATACAGCAAGATGAAATTAACAAGTTAAATAACGAAGGACTTAAAATAATAATAGTATTAATAGTGTTAAGACTAAGCATAGGGAGATGGTTGAAAAAGAGAGACAAACCTAGCAGAGTAAAGAAGTATGAAGTAGTATAGGAACTGAGGATCTATTTAATGATCAATAATCAGTGATCCCGCGGACTGATGCTATATTTTACTCTGATTGGTTCAAGTTTTTTTTCAAGTAACTTCTATCCCACGCAGCATTGTACATCAAGACATGTGATGGCCTGTCAAACGTAGCACATACTGCAGTCACCTGAACCGATGGATATCAATTCCTATTGTTGACCAGTACCCTACAGTTAACTTCATTATTGCTTATTCAGTCGTTATTCAATGATGAAAACTAACTTCAAAAATCGTCTTCCTCATTATTATGATAATCGTAAATGACCGTATCGAATTCTAATATTCAACCTTTATGTAAAATGTGCGATACGTTTTATTACAAGCTAAATATGTATGGAAAAATCATAATATGAAACGTTAGAAAAATGTGCCACGTTTCGGTTTAAGAAATTGCTAACACAGTCGTTGTTTAGTAAAATACAAGCTTGAGAAATATCAACCATTTGAATTTATTTTCTAATTTGATTTTATCTGCTAATACGAATCAGTTATGTTTAAAAAGAAAAAAAGAAGTGGGTTCGAAGATGGTTAATTAAACATTTACAAAATTAGAATTAAATGGACTCGATCCTCCTATATAAATTCGCGAATATCTGTAACTGTGGATAGTTCTAATGATTAAGGTTTTGTAGGAAAGTTGTTTCGTGAAATTTATATGATTGATATACAAATTTAGAAAACTTGAAACTATGGAACAGATAATTCTCTTTAGATAAATCAAACTAACAATTAACGGCATCATCGATTGCTTGGAATTCAAAAAAGACTTTAAAATGAATTTAGTGTTATTATTTGTTAAAGGTAAAGGACCTTTGGCATTGTTTCAAAATTATTAAAGTTTATGCAGTTATAAAAGTATAAATTATTTTAAATTTAGAACAGTAGTTTTCCAAATATTAGTTGTTTTAGTTTTTCAAAGTTTATTTATTACTTTGAATTGATTTATGTTATAATTGAAAATTGTGTTATTGTAATTATCTATTTTATACTGGATTGTAATTATCAGTCTTCCTGCTTTTTTTGTCATACCGAGTATGTTTATCATAAAAATGAATTTCGATAGCAGTTAGCCAGCACATTATGAGCTTATGATGAACTTATTGTATTCATTTATGAAGCCAACGAATTTTTATTGAAATAATTTTAAAAGAAAAAGACTTCTTTGATGTGATTGTGAATAATAATATTAGCAACCAGTGACTGAAAACAAATTAGATAGTAAAAATACCGCCCGATTATTTCTTTATTGTTTATTTCCCCAGTATTTTGACAGTGGTTTTGTTTTCTCCTTTCAAAAAATATTTCTTGCTCATAAGGAATGGATGGGATATGGCTATGGGTCATGTTTAAGAAGCACGTTTCGTCTTATTTGGGACTCGTCAATTGAATGCACCTGCATTTGTTTCTTGTCAGTATAGGGGTTGTAGAGAGTGTTTGTCTCAATATCACTTTGGTAGATTACTCCAAAGTTTAATAATTTTAACCGATGAATATTTTATACAACATTTTAGAATACCAAGTTTATCTCTTCTTATGATTACAAACATGGCTACACACAGCCACTTCGAGAACTGATGAAATATTTTGTAAAATAACTCAAAAACTGATAAGGCATGTCAGCTTCTTTGTAAATCTTTTTATGCAATGTCATAAATTTGATGCTGCTAGCTATACAAAACACAAATTATTAAAATCAATATTAATGCTCACTTTGTCCTACAGCCAGTCAGTCATGATAAAAGTAGAAGCTGGTACGCATGTCCGTTCGGTTAACATATAAGCATGACGAGAGAAATTTAAAAAGACGAAAGGCAAAATAATCGAAATTATGCAGTATCAATGATGACAGAAAAAATCGGACACTGAGAATACAATTCCAAAACACAGAGTGGAAGAGTATTTATGAGAGAATAGTGGAAATCGAAATATAGATAAAGATAATGAGTGAATGCACCTGCTCCACTTTGACCGCTTCTAAGTAATATCATCCGAAGTCTTCGACTACTAATGATTGCTATCGTGTGGACCCCATTATCTACCCATGTGACTCAGATTAATAGATAGTAATTTCAGAAACTGATAACACGTTTAAGTGTGAGCGCTTCCAGTTTTTTCTGATTCAAGGTAGCAGTTGGTTGAGTTTCGGAGTAACTAAATTCAAGATTGATCTTAAAAATTTTATGAAAGCGAATACACGCAGCAACCAGACTTAATAAACTCATTTAAATGATTTCAAAATACGAAAATTTATGGAAACAAATTTACGTTAGGAAATCGGTAACCCAGAGGTTTGAGGATGGCACTGCTTCATCGGTATATAAACCATTGGAGTGTTAACACTTCACGTATTAATTCACAGTTAATCAAAAGAACTAATAAGCGAAATAGTTTAAAAAAACATGAAAAATAGTTTGATAAAATGAATTATAGTGCTTACTTTTTTAAAGCATCAATTCTTTTGGCTTTAGCCTCTGGACTAAATATGGTCTTAGCTTCATCATCCAAGACTATTGTATTACTGTCTAAAAGATTAATATAATGTTGTATATTTACATTTAAAGAATAAAACTGTCATCATAAAAATATACCCCGATCAAATCAACAAAACGAACCCCGAAAAATTATATTTTTGCTATATGTATGATATATTTTCTAGTTACAAAAAACAATAGTGAAGCTTAGAGTCTACCAGAAACGTTTAACAAAGTCCCCTAATCAATCACTTTCACTAAGAAAAAAGAAAACTGTGACGTTTTACTGACGAAAAGAACTGGAGGGAAAATGAGAAAATATGTTTATCATAAACCGTCTAAATGAAATAGATATACACATTTTTCAGCTTTGTCCCAATACAATATAAAAAAAACTTATTCAAGTACATAGCTCACATAGCCAAAATTACTTGTCATGATGAACTCTTTAAGATGAACTAAAATTTATACATGATTTAATGAGTAAATTCGAATCCCCGTAAAATATTTTAACGAAACCAATGTCTGGAACTAAGTATGAGGTCAAATCACTAACGGTACCGAATGAAAATTTGTTCTCGAAATTACAGTTATAGAGCGATATAGCCAGAGAAATGGTCATTCGTCGAAAATAAAAAAATGCAGGACGTAAATTCCTTCTCGAACCGCTCAACAGTGAGTTAGCGAAATAAGAATGAATTGCCTAGTTCTTCTGTTTCTATAAGTAGTTATCACTTCAAATACTCTTGCTCTTAAATGCACAATAAGACAAATGCATCATCATGTTTCTAAAAATCACCTCTCATGGTTGACCAAAAAACAAAATAAAACACTATAAAGTTCTACCTGGTCACATTTATTTGATAAGTCATCAAGTTGATAAAAATCCAGCTTTTAAAGTTATTTAAAGAGGCTCAAAGAACCTACCCTATGATTCCAGAATCTGACTCTTGCACACACTAAAGGCTACAGAAAGACATGTGGATAAAATTAACCTTTGTAAACAGCGAATTTTTATACATCCTCCTAATTGCTACTATGTTTTATCCAAAAACAGTGTCTTTCTTTAACTTAATTTTTAATTTTAATCCAACTTAACATTTTTAATAATTTCGTTACCCAACTTTCATGCACTCGTCTAATTAACTACTCATTGTTAATCCCAGATAACAGAAAAAAATTCCCATTTTTACTCTTACATAACAAGTCGTGATAAGTAACTGACTACGAAACCATATTGTTAATCTATACCTTTCACTAATTACAACTGACTGTCGCTAACCGACCTATTTCAAACATTACAGAACATTCACAGTCATATAACATGAAAATTATAAGATCATAACATAAATTTAAACTATTCTATGGTCCAACCTTCAGGGTGACACAAAGCTGCTTTCATGCAAACAAGTACATCGTTTAATGTTTCAGTTGAATCTACATTATCTTGATTTTCTATATCTTCCAGATCATTTTGAAGAATATTTTCATTTTCTATTAATTCTTTTAAATCCTCCTTATTGAAATTGTTTGTATAATTTAACAGTTCGTTATCATAATTTGTGTAATAAGTTTCCATTAGTTGGGTATCGTCAGTAAACACTAAAATAAAGATTTTTTTCGAAAAATGAAGTAAAATTCATACGAGTACTAAAACAACAATTATCAATAAGATTAGTTGAAATTTTAATTATAAATTTTATTAAAATTGCCAAACATGATTTATATTCTTATTCATTTTACCGTCATAAAATTAGGTTGGATTATGAAAATTCGACCTGAGGCCTACTTGTGGCGCTGCTTGGTAGTAGGGACAACTTTTTTAGCTAGCTTTGGCGGAGATCGGACTAATTCACCAATCTGCTGTATCTGGATCACTTAGGATCCCAACCTCCAACCCCTCAAATCTTGAGAGCTGCCCGATGTGTACCCTCATGTATATGATTTACACAAACGTCAGCTTATGTAGCTTTGTATTTTGACATGTACATAGGGTACTCACTGGACTAGCATAAGCGAAGTAAGTTTAAATGTCTGCCCTACGTCTAATAAAATCAGCGGCTTAAACCAGGTTGAAGGCATTACTAAAATAAGAAGTCACAAAGTTTACTATCAACCCTTCCTGAGAGTGCTTATGCGCATGTGCTTATTATGAAATGCATGGACGAAAGTCTATATACCTATGATATTCATGTTATGCGTAATAGACAGTCTGTTGTATTAAATACGTTTGAAGGGAATAGTGATCACCTACGCTCCTAGGTGAGTAATTATACCTATTTGTATGTCATTGGATTCATGTGCGAAAGCTCATGTGCTACTGATAGGGATGCGACATACATACGTGGAAAAAACTGTGTAGCTTCAATAATTGTAGACTTCTCTGTGTAACACGCTAATTCCATAATTTGCATACTTACCACTATTACATTTCAATTTGGAACTATTAATATCACTCAGTTGTCTTACTGATTGTGCATAATTTTGATTTAACATTGCTGGAAACGTAAATTGTCGACGTATAAACAAAGCTTCTTGATTATTATTACCCTTTTTAATAATATTAGGGTTATTATCAATATCAACTTGTTTTTTAAATTCATCCATTGTGACATAATCATAAATTGGACTAGTTAATCTAGGTGAAGGATAAAAATTTTTTATTTCAGTAAAACTCATATTGTTGGTTAAATCTTCGATTTCTTCATTTCTATGTTTTGTAGAATTTAAAAAATTAAATGTTCCAAGACTTTCATCTTCAGCACCTGGACCTTTACCTGGCAATTTTTTATTGTCTAGAAATAGAATAAAAAATGGTAAGTATATTGAATAGAAAATCTGCTTCACAAAATCACTTACCAGGTGATCGTAATAATACGTACCATTTATAATATTTTTAATTGTGATCAAAATCCCTGAATATACTTAACTAATTAACGGCTCTGTATGGAAACCATCTATAAATTCATGCAACTTGCCAACATCTCTCGATGATTTCAATCATTTTGCACATCACATGATAGATAATTTAACACTTTTGACGTCTACTGATTTTCACTTGTTTTATTTAATCTAAGATCTTGACTGTTGAATGTTTAAATTCTATCAGTAATTTATTTTCAACATAAATACCATAAAGAGCAAGGTAATGTTACTGAACTGGGTGATAGTACTCCATCCTATTGCCATGTTTTGAATATCTATGGAATGAGATCACTAATTTTTATGGATTAAACTATGTAAGTTTGTAGATGTGAAAATCCTTACACAGTGATTTAGAACAAGTTCCGGTGAAATCAGTAATATAACTGTCTGTTTACTCTTCGTTACTTTTATTTATCAGCTTTTACATATTCTGTGTCAATAGACAAATGCATCATAATATACACACGAATAGTAAAACAGGTTTAATACTTATTCCCTTCAGTGAGACGCCATATTAATTCACAACGATCATAGTTAATAGATTTTTTCACGATTGTATGTACATCTTCTTAACAAGTATCAACTATTACTGAGCCGAGAACCACGGCTGCTTTTCGACTGTTTACAATCACCTAACATCATCTCACAAGCCTTACAAACTTTAATCAAAGTATCATTAAGCTACAATTAATTAATTAACAACTTATGGAGCTGAGTAGAAGCCGAATTATAGGTGATCTATTAAGCGGTTAGAGACTATTGGTAGAAAACCCTAGTCGTGCCCTGTCGATACTAATCAGTGAAGTGCGCTTGGTATTTTGAAAGGATTCATTTTTTTGTGAAATTTCAAGCGATATCCCTTAATATCACAGTTAGAGGCATTATCATTGGCTATTGGAGACATTATTGACATTTCGCATGACTTAGATGTTTACACAAATTGATCATTAAGTAACAATCAATTTCATTATGTTTATTCATGAATGATCAGTTAATTTATTTGGAAATAGGTGGTGAATAAAATTATGAGTAAACGTCAGATGTTCTTCCTTGTATATCTTAGTAACATGTCAATAGATCAACAGAAGACTACATGAATCTGATAACATCTACATTTTTCTCTCAAATTCAGTTATTATTTTTGTATAAATCGGAAAAGTTTGTAGAAAAATCATGTTACCAACTGATCTTAGTTAGACAGTCGCTGAAAACTAGGAGCACCGGACAGATGTTTTCTCCTAGTATAGGAATCTTCGTTAGTACACAAGCACTACTCGTACTGAGATTGAATCAAAGACCTTTAGTTTTGCTATTTAGTGTTTCTTGATTTTCACTGATTGTTTAACTAAGATCAGTCCGTGACGTAAAATGTGGAAGTTAGACAATTTTCTCAAACCGTCTGTGTCAGTAATAATCATGTGCTCACCTAAAGACCAGCATCAGGTTGCAACTGTTGGAGTTATAATGAGATTATGAGACCACTGGAGTTCAACCATATCGAGCATTAGATTTTATCCACCAAAAGCAATGGAAAGTGGTTGCCTATTCTTGGGACTTGATTGAAGTTAGACATGTACACAACTGGATTTCAGCCCAGTGGTCTGAAGGTTAAGCACTCACCGCGAGACCTTAAGGGTTCTTGGTTCGATCTCAGGTACAGTCGGCAGTGTACACTGCTAGAGAGTCCGACACTTGGATGAGACAGCTGTTCAGCATCTCATGGTTTCGAACGGTTTTCTATCTAAGATCAGTCGGGGATGTAAACTATGAAAATTATATTAATAAGTGTTGTCTATATTAAAATATGAATTAGAATTTATTCACCGTTTAAATCTGATTTCTTTGACCAAAATAAACCACTTTCATTTTCCAAATCATCATCTAGTTCATCAATCAAGCTTGTTTCATTGTTTATTTTTTCTAAATAAAGGCTTTTTAATTCATTTAGCAGTTTCTCTGTAGGTATTTGAATTGTAGGCCATATATGATTCAATGATGGATATCCTTTCTAAATTGTAAGAAAAACGGATGGATTAAAATTCAATCTAGGATAAACTGTAAGTTACTGAACGTTTATTAGCTGGAAATTTAGAATTTTACACCGTGGATAAATTAATCTGGAAACATAACGCACAAAAACGTTGACTTGAAGCTAATCGTAATACTTTTTTATTCATGACACTTGTATTTAAATTGTATCTGAGATTTGCATAAATCCCTTATACTAATGATTTGTATATAGCAGTAAATATATCTTTAGTATGATAAACAATGTGTTCCTAAAAGAATTCCACATTGAAGCCAGCAATTCGTCGCTCCCTAACTAAAAAAATTAGTCCTAATTACTTTGATTCAAAAGTTGCATTATCATGTTTTATGTAAACACTGTAATGTGCAACTTGCTCAAATGCTAGAATCGCCGTTTTAGTAAATCTCCCATTGAGATGAGGATAAATTTAGCATTGGATAAGCGTTCTACTAACTGCAATCAGTCAAATATATATTTATCCAACCAATCAATTGATCAATAATTCTTAAACCAAAGGTCGTTTCTATCTTACTGTTACAAATGTTACATCAGTAAACCGAAAGTTCCTTTCTTCCAAAGAAATCAGTCAGATACAAAATATTCCTTATCAGTCCATTTTGCAACCCTGAGGGTAGTAAGCCCGAATAAACTATTTCTTTGAAAGTTTTAATAACATTTCGGATTGGTTTATGTAACGGGTTACTTAGGTATTTTAAGAAGAATAGTGTATTTTGAAGATAGATTGTCCAGAAAAAATCATGCTCGTTGTAACTGCTGAAAGCCTTGAATTTCATTTCGTGTAAGATCTTCAATGTACGCCGTTAGAGAAAAGTAAATATTTTTTCATTTTATAGAGTAAACGCATGTCATAATGAGATTATATAAACTAGAAATGTCTTAAACTTTCATATTACTACATAGCTTAATGTGTTAGAAGTTTGTTACATTTAGGTTAACAATAAAAAAAAATCGATTCATGATCTCAACAATTTCCACAACCCCATACTGAAAACCAAATTGATTGGACTATCAAATATTAATAGATTGGGATAAAAATGAGTTTTGAAAAATCACTATGTAAGTATAAAATATCTCATTGGCAGCAATCACTCAACGTATATCAAATCTAAAAGTTATGTTAACAGATTAGCTTTACAGCGGATTTAATAATCGTGGAAAAAAACAGTTTTATACATTCAGCATTTAAAAACACTATTCTTACACATAATCAGTACAGAATATAGTTGTTTTAATAGATATCTTCTTGTAGCTGTACATTTAAGCAACAACTAGGTTATCGTTTCACAGTAAAACTATGCAATAAAAGATTAAGAGTACTTGTCTTCTTATCGAATGATTATTTTTAATTTAACTAAATTTGATTTCATGTACATTTAAGGACATATTTCATGCATGAGACCTTAAAAAGAAGTGTAAAAAAAGAAATATGGAACTTTGGTAGCACTTCCTTAGTGAATTAGTTAGTATATATTTAATAGCACAAAGCTGATGAAAAGCTACCTTTTGACTGATTAATTGTTTCTGTCTGTTATCTTTTGTAAATGATAGCCAGCTGACTAATACTCTTTTTTGTATCAAATGTCCTAGTTATGCACTCATTGAGATTTATTTTTAGTGCGTTGTGGTATTGCATTTCACTATTACAATCGTATGAGTCATATATCTTAATGATAAAAGATATCTACAATCATCCATCTAGCCTTTTGATTTTCTGATCGGAGGATCGAAATCATCGGACTTTGTGTTCTTCATCGACCTTCTGACGAGTTAAGCAAAGGAGTTAGTCGATTTATTGTTCCTAGAGTAGGCAAAACTACAACACTTGTGGTAACCTGTTAACATCCCTGTTATTAAACCGTTTACTAAAGAACTAGTACTATTATTAAAGTACTTTTGAGTGAATAAAGAACAATGCATTGATTATAAATTAAATTTGAAGAACATTCACCAAACCATCATATAGGCTTCAAAAAACAAGTTACCTGCCAGGTGAACAGTTGTGTTTCCATTGTAGAATTTAAACTATTCCGGGTATGTGTAAGCTGTTCTGCTAAATCTCTAAATTATAATGGGTAGTGAAGAAAAAAATTATTTAAGTTTTGTGTTAATGATAAAAAATATTTGGAATTCAGGATAAGAAACCATATTTCACTGACTATACAAAACAAGTCTTGCAAGGATAGTATACAATTGGAAACATCGAACTCAGTATGTTGATCATTAATGGGTGGGATTTTTTGCGATAACTTGTTTTAACGTTGAAGTGAACACTAACATTCACTATGACTGAAGCATATCCGTCAATCTGTCAATATTTATACAGTTCAAAATATGCACCTTGGATTCCACTGATAGCCACTGTTAGGCAATATTGAGATGTTCTGCATAAATGACTAGTCAAGAAATCATCGTTAGAGAAATTGATCTATATTACGAGATAGTATTGATCATTGTGCGAAGTTGGGAATAAACTCGACTTGAAAATTTTAAACACAGTTATTACTTAATGCTCGAAAGGTATTGTGCTCTCTGAAGAAGCTAGAGATCGTGTGCTTAATCCCTTATGAAGTCGTACTTGCAAACGGCTAGGGAGTTCTAACCTACAACTAAACAGTCATTTAGTGCTCCGTCTTTTTTATTGCTTTCAAAGTAACACCATAGAGTATCTGCAAACTAAACTGAGCTCTTTGATTTTAAGAACAAAACGTCTAACGTATAGTAAAAGACCAAATGAGCTAATTTTATTCTTGGTTAAATCAAAATTATTTATTTTACAAGATATTTACCCAGAAAATGAATTTTATCATTGTATTTCACATGGTTTCAGTTTATTACAAGCAATTACGTGCTCAACAAGAGTCTATAATGACTGGATCACACTATATTTTAAATTTGGTATTTCTGTTCAAGACGTGATTCCAAAAGGTTGTACTTCTTACTTAGTACTAATAATGATTCATCATGTGATAAACAAACATACTAATAATTTGATAGAAGAATAAGTGCTGAAATACCTTAAGACTGCAGTAGTTCTATCTGATTCAGTTGCTTTATTTAATTTGATTTTTTGACGTGGCGTTAAGTACTGATCTTCTGAATTTTCTACATTCTCTTCGATCTCTTCATTTAATTGTATTGAAAACTTCTCAGCGTTTTCAATTGACTGTTGGTTGTGCAAAACTGAATCAGGTAAACTAATAAATTCTTCAAACGACATAAGTCTAAAATTACAGAAACAATGACTAAGGGCTATAGAGAAGAAACCAGCTCAGGATGAACGTATAGTAACGGAAGCTAATCAACTGAAACCCTTAATATCAACAATGAGAATTTGCAACCCTATACTAGTATTTCTTATTAAGGTATTAAATTATTTGGTTTTTCACCTTTCTTCAATAAAATGTAGTTTCGACAAATAACTAATTCCTTGATGACTTTATTTCATAATATCACACTGACGTTTTCCACTCACTAATTGCTTACTTTCTCTCTTAACAAGCTATTAGGATATTTGTTTTCATGGTCATTGCTGTTACTATATAAACGTAATTGTTGCATCACGTTTTTATTTCTGTTTTGGGGAATATTGGAGCTCTTCTGAAAATCCTTTTTTCTCTATTACCATTTCATTTATTCCCGTATAGCTAACTTTTGTGCAATAACCGTCTGGCTTGGAAAGATCCAGTTTTGTATTTAAAAAATCTCCCGGTCGTTCATAACTTGAAATAATCAAAGTATTATCAAGTCATAACGTCTTCAAGTCGATTAAACAAGTGGCTATCTTGACTCATTAACTTAGTATATAGAATGCTGGCATCCAGTCTCATTGCAAATGCCAACACTAGGATACAAATATGTCCAGACGACTAGCTCTGAATGGAATGAAACGCTCAAGCTGAATTCTACTGCTAACCACAAACTATATATACTGAAGCTTCGAAATGTCAAAAAAATTATAATTTCTAATCAGTCAGTCAGTAACAACGTAGAACTTAGTACGTACGTACATCAGTTCCAGTTGTCATACCACATTAGCACAGAGATGCAGTTGTCGATTCCAATCCCGTAGTGGTCGAGGTAGTAAGAGTATAAGCAGTAATCGGAAACATCAGGGTTTGGAGATGTTATTTAAAGAGTATAATACAGTGAAATAAATTTGGGAAGAGAAAAGAGACAAGGAGGAATCAGGAGATTAAAAATTTGGGAGAACACAAAGAGTGTATGTATCTGCGCCATTGCAAATGATTTTGAGCCATGTCATTCAGGGTCTCTAACCATCAGTTGCTATCATCTCGCGGTCCCCAATCAGGTGGTCTACACCTACCAACATGACTCAGTCCACTTGTCAGTGACTTCATGGACTTGTACCATGTTTTGGTCTGTCCGCCCTTAACTTTCTTCCAACCTACTCTTATACCACTGAACATTGCACGTCGAGGCAGTCGGTCGTTGGGCATACGTAACACGTGTCCCAGCCATCTCAACTGATGAAGTTTCACCACTTCATCAATCGATTTGCCATCCTTACCTAGTACTCTTTTCCTAACAACTGCATTACTTACTCGATGCTCCCAAGATATACGAGCAATGTTTCGAAGACACCTATAATCGAATACTAGTAACCTATGAATTTCCTCTACTCTTACCGGCCACGTTTCACTGCCATAAAGTAGGACGGAACGAACTGCTGCACAGTAAACACGTCCTTTGGTTGATAGACGGATATCTCACCTGCACCATAGATGACGCAAGTTGGTAAAAGCTAGTCAAGCCTTCTGTATCCGTGCTGAGATTTCGTCACACACCAAACCACGAGGGCTGATGAGACTTCCAAGATAAGTGAAGCGGTCGACACGCTCAAACAACCTCGTAAGTATGCAATTAAATTTTTCAAAAATGGAATAAATGGCTATATTGGACTGAACACTTGGCAATTGGAAATTCTCTGATGTATTAATACACTTTCTGTTCGAGATATAAACTCTTTACCACTGACTAAACTTATCAAAGGTATCTCAAACAGTTTGATTGATAAGGCCGAAAATATTCCTTGTTATCAAATATGTTCAATTTAGAAATCGTTAGAATTACTATACGTTCAGGATGATAGTACTGTAGGGCTGTAAAAAAATGTTAGTAGCTACAATGAGGTTGGAAAACGGTAACACATCTCAAAAAATGAATGATTTAACCGTTTAACTACTTTCTATTACTTGTCACTAATAACGATAATAATTAACAGAATTTAAAAGGGAAAATTTAGCGTCATATGACATAAGTTGAAGCTAGTATGTCTATTAGGGGGAAATATTCGTTTATACAAGCTCTTACTTTAAGGAATAAAAAACCAAACAAACATATTGTTTTGGATTATGCACTTTAGCTTTCTTACAGATTAAATTCGCTCCCATCCTTCCGATTTTCACCAGATAATTCGTTTTGCATGTGAATTATGATTTCTTTGTATAAATCCTAAAGATTTAAATTAAAATAAATACCCAGAATTATATATATATATATATATATATATATATATATATATATATATTGTATAGACGACTACAAAAAATCACAAAGTATGTTGTTTAAGGATTTCTCACGACAATGTTCATATCCATTCAGAATTAGATTTCAAACTCTTAGTTTCAACCATCAATATATTAGTTTTTAAACTGTTTTCCCAATAAATATTTATAGTATAATAATATAATGTAACATTTATTGTGTGGATTGTATGCTATGAATATTCAGGTAAATTCAGTCGAATACCATACTCCCTATATAGTTTAACATTTCTTACCAAAAGTATCGGTTGATATGATCATGTATATTATTTATTAAGTTAATAATGAATTGTCAGAGGTTTCTCAAACATTTATCATACTAATACTAAAATGTAATTCATTTTTATTAAATAATCTTAAACAGTATAGGTAGTATGGTGTTCGATTGAATTTACTTGAATATTCATAGCATATAATCCACACATTGAATGTTACATTATTACGTTACATTACTATTTCGTGAACTCACTGATAATATATATAGTGAAAACAAATTAAAAACTAATGTATTGATGATTGAAACTAAGAGTTTGAAATCTAATGCTGAATGGATATGAACATTGTCGTGAGAAATATTTAAACAACATACTTTGTGATTTTCTGTAGTCATCTATACAATATCAGATGTTGCTAATGTCGCCCAATAGTTTTATCTAATATCCAGCATAAAATAATTTGAGATGATATGAGCATACGACTAAATCAATTTTGGCTAACCAGCAAATACAATCGGTACGAATGAGATGGACTTACACGTAAGTACGAGTGAACCGCATTTGATTGAAGAAGTTCTGAAGCAGATGGTCGTTCTTGGGGAGTCTTCTTTAACATTCTAGAATATAATTAAGACAGTTATTAAATAATAATTAATATTTTTAAATAGAATAAACTATTAAGTGAATAATTTGATCAGAAAATAAGAGAGATTTAGGAGATTAACAGTTATTATGTGTTGATAATGTTTCGAAAGTGAAAAGTTTCTAAATCTCCATGCTAATAGCTTACTATCTCATAAGCAATTCAGTATAAATACACATTTCATGTCAAAATAATATTGTGAAAATGATAACTCTTATTCTATGCATCATTTATTCATTCAATTGTCCACCATCATAAATGTGTTGATGTGATTACTCATTGAACTAACTGAAGGGTTGTTTTGAATCTAGGTCGCTTTTATCAGTCTGTCAAATGTCAAAAACTATTCACGCGTATATACCATCATCTTATTTCTACAGATTGCTAACAAAATGGTACCTTAAATTATGATTGTAAGAAATAATACCATAAATAAATTATATTTTTAAATCCTTCGAAAGAAGCTCGGATGAAATCGCTAGGCCATAGCTCTGAGTAAATCCACTTAGAATATGCTATGATTTTACAAATACAATGCGTATATACTGACTTTAATTTACTTACAGTCCAATCTTTTCTAAAATAGTCATCAAATCTGTTCAACACTCCTTACAGAATAACACAATCAAAAGACTTATAGGTATCATTAACAAGGTTTGACTTGATACTTTCAAATAAACTGAGAATTTAGTAGAGTGTTAGTAATAAAATAACAACATTTTTGCAATATTCCAATGAGGAAAAAATTAAATTTTCTGACATTTTGTTACTCAGTATGAGTGGCTCCTGCGGAAAATAAATACTTACACTCATTAAGACTTTGTGAAAGTAATAATTTTATGATCAAAAAATGTTTTCTCACTGTCTCAGACCAGTGACACTAACCTTAACTATTTCAGTCATCTGACTTTAGAATTGGCCGAGTACTCACAAATGAAGTTAGTTTATTGTTGCTAGTGTTTAACTACGAGCAATTACTACTAGTCAAAGGAAGTGGAAATTTGTTGAGACGTTTACGAATAAAAATATCATAGCATACACATACTAAAGCAAGCATACCAAATAGAGCATTTGATTAGGATAAAATTCTCATTAATTTTACGTACAGTTCTAAAACCTCTTGTAATTCTTTTGAATAAATTTCTGGTAGCTGAGGACAAGGATCATTTATCACCTGCCACATAACACGCATTAAATTAGTTCCAGTGAATGCTCTTCTTTGGGTGCATAGTTCATACAGAATTATTCCGATTGACCTATACAACAGTTAAAAAGCTACAGAAACTGCTTAACTAATAGTAAAGTATAGTACAAACCACGTTACACGAGAGACCAGTGTTAGTACGTATGAATTAAATAAGTGTTCCTATACCTAAAGCATTTTACCTGATTAATGTATTTCTATCGCCAAAAATGTTATGCAAGTCACCTATTTACGGTTGATTGGTCATTTAGCCATATTTCGATTTAATCTATTAGGGAACAACGAATTCTACTAACCAAGTTGAAATCTGATTAGCAACTCAAGCAATTTGACATCACTACGCTGTAGTCTCTGATATTTTAGACTGGTAATTTTCTGACCAAAATAGGGTCAAACAACATACAATTCACACTTCAGAACGTCTCTAGACAATTACACATACATAAACATCAAACAGAAGATATTACAAACTTACTTCTATACGGTAAATACAAGTTTCAGGTGCCTAATTAAAATATTATGAATTACATCATAAGTATGCAGTGATCATTTTCTCGATAAATCTCAATATTATTGATTATCGTATCTTGATCAAACTAAGATGGAATTCATTCTCACTGAACTTACTGAGTTCACCGACGTCTCATTGCTAAAACACTTGAACTCGAGTATGAATAATGCAAGCTAGAAAGTTAACTGCCACAATACAAATCGACTTCAGACCAGTCACACAGTAACACCTGATTTCAGTGTTCAATTTCGTAAATCTGTTTAAGAAACAAATGTATGGATCAGCCACTTGAAATTATTACGTTTTCGAAGTGTGAACTAATTTTCTGTATTCTAATCAATAGTTGAGCCATTCTGCTTCCCTCCAGAAAATCTATTCAGTTCTCTTTGTTTATCTATTCATTTACTGATCTACTCTCATAAATTTGACACATTTTATTGAACTATGCATCCACTGTAACAGATCGTGAACAGATTATTGGTGCTAATCAAATTCAGTGAGAGACAAATCGATATGTAATCACCAAAATGTGATTATGCTTGTCATAGACATGGAAATAACTCGGAGAAATAAATGACGGAGGGAGAGAGATAGAGATAAGAAATGCTAAACCACATGTTTACGGATAGTTTGCGTTATGTACAAGGTGTTATCTGTTTAATCAAATCAGAAGACTACATGAAATTCCAATTCGAGTTATGTAGTTGTTGATTTCTCATGAATTTTCTATCTGTTTTTTCCCAATTGAAAATTAACCTTTATTAAAGCAACAGTGAAAGCATAGAAACTGAAAGTATGTCGACATAGTGAGTTGTGAAATCTGTCGAATTATTGGCCTCATATAATGGACTGGCTTCGGTTAGACAATCGGTCGATACCTGAGAGCCTTGAACTGTTGTTTTGTCATGGTATGGGATAAGAAATCTCGTGCTGTCACAGTCGATCGACTGAAGTAACATGAAGTGATTAAGTGACCACAGCTCGTGAAAATCTAGTTGGTGGTTTAAGCTCCTCTCCCAAACTAACTAGAAACAAAAATATAGCTGGTTGACAAAATAGTTTGTTTTTGCTTGACAAAATAGCCTGTATGTAAGAAGAAAATACGACGAAATGGAGACGATTGGAACTCACAGATTTTTTGACTGATTAGGATGCAATGGTGTTTGGAGCTCTCTGGACATCTAATAAATTCAACTCTTCGAGCATCATATAAATTTTTGCATGCCATTTTATTACCAATCAACATTTCAACATAGTTCACGCCATATCAAGTCATTCTGACTTGTGAAAACATCTCAACTCCATCTTTGTTATATGAGCATCTCTAAATGAACTAGACAAACATGATATTGGTCACCATTGATCGGTCAGTTATTAGTTAATATCACATTCCTATGGGAGGCTAATTCCAGCTCCAATAGCTTAGTGGTCACCATCTAGATCTATGAATGATGATAACGCTGGATTAATCGGCCGGGTAGCGGCAGTTCCTACAAGACTGCAGATACGTCTTACTGTCGGTCGCTACATCAAGCCGACATAGCTTACTTTGGCTTCCGGACAGGTCAATTTATCCATTCTTCTTGAGTCACGTTTTGACCTTTTTAATTATTTGCTTATCAACCTTGAATATTTCTATATAAGCGTATGTGTGTGCATTTCTTATATTACTCATAACATGTCTGTTACTTATTTTTGTCTGACTATAAATATCTTTTCACGCTTGGTTAAATCGATTCGGATAATATGCCTTTCCCAATCCATTTCGCTTCGTTTCCCTGATTGTTTGCTCAGATCAACGGTTGCATGAAACATACGTATTCAAAATCCATTCTTGTGTTTAACTTATTTAATCCCGTTATTCATTAACGCCAATTAACTGGATAATTGTATACGAGAATTGATGAAATGGACGTCATCATACTGGAGTCAGATAAATGGCCACCAAAACGTTTCCCTGTTAAATTTCAATGAACATGAAACCTAGGTTCAAGATTTTCTACCAGCCACCTAAAAAATCATTTACTATAAGACGTTCAACTTACCAAATATCTGATTTATTATTATATCCTTCGTACTTCAAAACTTCCGGACTCATATAATAAGGAGTCCCAATAAACGTAGTTGCCAGTTCTTCAGTTGTGGCCAGTGAACGCGAAATACCGAAATCACCAACTTTAATATTCCCATTCTTTAAAAATATATTACTAAAACCATTTTAAAACATAAGTTTTACCTAAAACGTTTCCGAAAATTCAAATCACTTCTTAAAAATTCAACTCCTCAACTAATTCAATAAACATGATCAATGCTGCAATAAACATTCTACATGGGAAGCATTTCTAATAACAACCTAAATAAGACCTAGCTTTTGATAAATACTTAAGGTAAGCTTCATTAATTTTATAAGCAGTTGTAGTATTATTGAGAATTTTTGGTTTGTTTATTTAAATTTAATTATTTATTCACATCTTTCCGAGTTCAAATATTTTAGTAAAGATTCGGAACTGCCTGCAAACGACAAGCTGTTATAAATTAATTGGAAACCTCAATGATTTATATTTACATTAAAAACTGTTTGCTAGTCTTATGTATTTTGTGTACAATTTAGGACTAACTCATAGGAAACAAAATAAATTACGGGGGTACTGAAAAAATATGCCTGTTGAACACATTTTCTTAGTTAGATCCAGTGTCTTCGGGTTCTCGATGATTCTTTAGCAAACTTCACTTCGTGAAAGCTACTTTCAATTAATTTTTTGAAAGAGTTTAGCTTATTACGTTGTTGATATTACTAATTGAATTTCGATCAATTTTAGTTGGCATATGTACATCCTGTGTACATTGCCTTGATATAATTATTTTTCCCACAAGATTTGTTAAAAGAGAGATTTTATGTGGCTGTGGAATCCAGAATGTGCGTTTTGAATCCGGCACCTACATACTTAATAGCCATCTTGTTATTTTCTGCTCACTAGGTCCAAATCTGTAATATGTGAAATATATTATTTATTAAAATTAGGTATTACCGTCCCCTCTTTCAAGATCATCCTTCTTTAAATCGAACTTCTATATTGCGTTTATCCATCTGTTTTCCAATATTTGTTGAGCATGCTGTATCTAGTGTTTTAGGCATTTTTCCCTTCATTTAATGGAAAAATGCTGCATTTAAGAGTGTAATTTCTACTTGGGATTTCACTTGAAGTATCTAAAATTATCCACATCTGTATGCTACGGTCACTTCAGTGCAGCGCATCCCAACATGTCGGATGGAAGATACCAAATATAATGAAAATTAGGCTGTGAAACAATGATCTCTTATATAAGGCACTCACTCACTAAATGAATAGGAAAATTCCGAACAACGTTTACGATTCCATATTTACTAAATATTAAGAAATGGATGGATAGAATCATATAATTTTTAAATGTAATTCCCTTTAAAATTTCTGTAAAGGATAAAATGACGTTGTTAGTTTTTTGACTTAAATTACAAATTAAAAAATCCAACTCCCAAATTATAATTGAAAACTAAATATATTGAAAAAAATCAGAAAACAACCTTGTTTTCAAGTCACGGTGAAGTATTTTATTTTTATGCATATAAACTGTGGCCAATATAATTTGTACAAGCCATTTTCCAATAATTTTTTCACTGATACGTTCTCCTTTACTCTTCACTTGTTTTAAGTAATTGGTTAGATCACCCCCCTATCATGTTTTACAGTACAATTAAAAATAAAAGATAAAATCTTAGCTTAGATTAATCCATTGAAATTTAACATACTATGTTTTATTTTTATGATGAATAATCGCTGAATACTGTTTTCTTTTGTAACGATTTGACGAAGAAATAAGTTGACGAAATGTGCAGTCATCAGGGAAAATATAATATATAGGACAATAATATAGTACTAACGGGAACTAGAACTTCGTGAACTAGTGTGTTTTCTGGTCTCTACCCACCTAGATAATCAAGATCAGATAAACTTATGAGGACTTTTAACGTTTACTGGATAGAATGTTTAAGAAATATGATTGTGTATCTGGTAACAATCTACCTCTTGATATACAATGTAAGATAGTGTGAAAGTAGTCAACTACGCTAAATTATTGGTAACTTTGGTTCTTTTTGAGTTGTCTGCTTATTGTTGTGAATCACGTTTGTCACTTAACTCCTTGAAATACATGGTAGAGGCTAAAAAGCATTGAATTTTTCTACTTTGAGGAAATCTCATCAATGAAAATACATTCACACCTTTGTTAACTCTTGATAATAATATTGTTATCCTACTTCAGTTGATTTCTTATTTGCTTATTATCTGCAAGATATTGACGTATTATGGGTTAAACAGTCCTTAAGAACTTTTTAAAATATAAACTAAAGAGGCAAATAAATCAAGAATAACAAATCGTAGTCTGCATGCACGATAAAACTGATTGTTAACTGCCGATTCAAAGAGATGAAGCAAAGGTATCATTCGAAACTGAGAGCAAATCGGTTCAGTTTGTCACACTTTTTAAGACCACATTAGAAAGATAAATAACCAAAATAGAGACCTTAAAATGAACAATTCATGATGAAACTAGTCACAAAACGTTTCACATAATTACCAGGCCTACTAATAACGGTGTACTAACAAGTAACTAGATTTAGGATGGATTTATCAAAGTTCCAGTTGAAGTTTATGAATTGTGAAGTCGATCTTACCTGAAGTGGGACTATAACTTGTCGACCAAATTGAATGTTTGCATCACTACAGTAAGTTAACTTAAGTCGAAGATGCAAATCAGGGACTTAAATCCATTGCACTTGAGACAAAACTGAAGTGGTATGTAGATTATTAAGTGTTAGAAACCTAATGTGAATTACTAAGATATAAAGCAAGACAAAGCATCCACTCCATTTTTCATGGTTTTATATCATCCCATAATTGATAACCCAGTCAGTCAGTCAGTCAGCTACAACGTAGGACCAGGCACATATGTGCATCGGTCCAGGTTGCCATACCTCATTAGCACAGCAAGATGAACAGCGGATTCATAGGAGTGGTTAGGTCAAAGGTTGCAATAAGGATATAGTATAGGAAGAAAGAATTAGTTCGTAGACAGAAAGAATGAAGTGATTTTAGTTTCTTAGTTTAAGGGAAGACAGGGAGTGTATACACCGACGCCATTATGATCGATTCTGAGTCATGTCACCAAGAGTCTCCAACCATTGGTTACGAAAGTCACGCGGACCCCAACCAAGTAGTCTGCATCTACCAACATGGCTCAGACTAGAAGTTAGTGACTTCAGGCACTGATGCCACGTTTTGGTTTGGCCACCCCTAACTTTCTTCCAACCATCCCCTACCCCGGTTAGCATTGCACGTCGTGGTAATCGGTGTTCAGGCATACGTAATACGTGGCCCAACCATCTCAGTCGATGAAGATTCATAACCTCATCAACTGATTTACCATCATTTCCTAATACCCTGCGTCTAACCTCACTATTACTTACCCGGTGATCCCAGCAGACGCCAGCAATATTTCTAAGGCATCTGTGGTCAAATACTAGTAACTTACGGGTGTCTTCTACTCTTAAGGGCCATGTTTCGCTGCCGTAAAGTAAAACAGAACGAACTGCTGCGCAGTATACTCGTCCTTTTAATGATAGACGGATATCTCGCCTTCGCCAAAGGTGACGTAAGTTGGCAAAAGCCAAACGAGCTTTTCGAATCCGTGCTGAGATTTCGTCAGACACCAACCCATTAGGGCTGATCAGACTTCCAAGATAAGTGAAGTTGTCAACGCGTTCAACTACTTCACTCCCTATCCTTAGTTCAGGTGTTGACCCAGACCAGTCCTGAAGCAACAACTTGCATTTAGAGGGAGAGAAGCGCATCCCAAACATTCTGGCATTGTTGCTTAGTGCTGCCAAAAGACTCTGCATTTTGTCAGCGTCTTCACCAAACAGGACTATGTCATCTACGTATTCTAAGTCGATATGTGGACCTCCTGGAAGGAGATCAATACCCGAGAATTCACTCGACGAGAGTGTTATTTCCATCAATAGGTCTATGATCCAAATTCCTTTTCAGGTACCCCCAGAACAACCCTTCCACGGTGTGGGCAACTGGGAAGTGAAACCGCCCTCATACCTCTAACAGCACTCAAGACCACTGTATTCAGAATTGATAACCCTGATGAAAGTAATCATCAAATAATGAAAAACGTTTATTAAACCACCTAAGTTTTAGAAAATAATGCATAGAGGAACATGTAAAACAAAATTAAACAAGATACTGATTTCATATAATTTAGAAATTTAAAAACCTGTAGAATTTAAAAAAGGCAGTCTAAGCTTATCTAAAGAAATCTAATATTCTAAAACTCATTAATACAACCAGTGAAATTGGTTGCTGTGATACAAAAAGATTTTATCCTAATTTCGTAACAAGCCACGGTAAACAATGAGACGGTATAAACCGCCATACCAATTAACAGGCACTATTTATTATAGTTGTTGTATGTGAAAGCAACTATGCAGCCTTTAGAAATAAATAGAAAGGCATGTCATTTGGAACAAAAGTGTGAAAACAGCAGTAATATAGAGCATCATTTGAAAAGATTTTATGGATTTAAATTGACTCATTTGATTAAAATAACGTATATAAATTTATTCTGATAGAAGATTCATTTCACTGGTATCAGTGTATACTAAGAGATGTAAGATCAGCATAAAAATCGAGAGCAGTGAGCACTAATTGGCCTCATACATTGTTATTAAGCATTACCATTTAATCACACTCATCTCAGACCAGTTCAATAGTTCTCATTTGCCTATTATACAATGAAAAGATTCACTACAATATAAAATGTGTAAAGAAACTTTTATACATTGACTTATATCATCCGAACGCAAAATGAAAATAAAAGAGCACCAAACACCAGTTTTGGTGTGAACATGATTAGTATTGGGCTCTGAATGAAGCACAGTGGTCCTAGTTGCGACTTTTATCAAACAAGAAAACAAATTGCATGAACAATCGACGATGATACCAAAAAGTATGAAAGTCTCTCATTGTACAACTAGCAATAATATAAACTGACTTCTTATATTTTTGTTTATACTAATTGGAACAAATAGTAATCTTGTTTACAAGCTTTTATTATTATCAAAACATATTTCAGTTAAATGATCTTTGGATTTTTGTAGTCCGATGAAAATAATTTTCTCACCTGGGTTACATCCGTTTGCTCTTGAGTAACATACTTAACCACTGTTTAGAAAAACTAATTTAGTTTCGTAAGCTTTACAGTGTTAGCATAGTAATTTTTTGAGTACACATGATCATATATGTATCTACCTAGCGATCACAGATAAGACATATGTAAAACTTAACCAACCACCGGAGCTAAACATAAGTTTGTGCTGCTTGTATGAAATAAAAAATACTTTGCACACAATAGTAAAATTTATTCATGATTTAGACAAAATACACTACAGTGGCTCTACAGATTTTTTCTAGTCTTTTCATGCTGATCCACTTGTAGCTATCAGAGCGCCTTTTAGTAAAATCCGAGGATTTTATATTACTAGATACGCTCAATGCTATTACTTATTTCAAAGTCATAAGTAATTATGTATACGTCAGCAACATGTGATAGCAATGTCTTTTATATTAGTCACTTTATCCATTTTTAGCGTCACGAAAGCCCTCAAAGTTCTGGTGGAGATTTTAATCAATGAAATATATTAAGAGATAGAGTAAAGTCCAATAGTGTGTGGGCGAGGAAAGTGATGATTAGTTGTTTGCATAGTCATATATGTAGATAACCTGGTAGGTATTAGGTGTGTTGTTTGCCTTTCTACTCATTGTTATTATGGTTGTTTTCAGTTATTGGCATTGAAGTATACTCACATTATAGTCCGGCCAGTCACTATTGTGTTAAAGCCCTGTAGAATAGACACTATCAGGGTACCTAGTGTAGATATTCGTTTAAAACATTAGTGTCACGTTGGTCTGAAGAACAAATCCGAGCATTGTTTCGGATTTTAGATGAACTTAGTTTCGTCCATACAAGTTACTATTATGACTTGATATTTGTAGCTAGTTGCGACCCAATATCATTGATTTATAAATTAATTCACGTAGATGAAGTCGTTAATTAACAACAAATGGAGACATTACTTACCAATCGGCTCTGCATTACGACGTGTTTAGTAACCTACAGATCGTTAGTTGGATAAATGAAAAGTAAGTAATTAGTTTAGCTAGCAAACTAGTTCTATCACATCCATTTTAGGTTCATCAGCAGTTGTGTAAAACTATAGGGTTTTTGACTTGATTAGATCAGAAATCCCATTTATAAACTATTTTCTGCGCAGATGACATAAATACTAAGCTTTTAAACATTTAAACAATCTTTTTGTATTATTCGTTATTAA